TACGGAGTGATTTTAAATGGGTGAGATAGAGGAGGAGTATTCGTAGTTGGTGGCAATGATGGATCAATCGAGTTAGATGTTGGTGGAGGTACCCCTTCTGGAGTTGTACTCAGTCCGAAAGTAATATCTTGTGCTCGAACTGTATAGGTGTATCTTCTAGAGGGTATGTGGACCTTGTAGATAGAAGTGCTATTAGTATAACCGATGAAGATACCTTTCTCAGCCCGTGGTAGGAGTTTACTGCCTGCAGGTCGTCGTTCCTTAGGTATGTGTATATAACATTCCTTACCGAAGGGTTGAAGGTGAGAGATTGTAGGTTTGTTGCCGTGAAATACCTCGTAGGGTGTCTTCCCTTTGATTGTCCTATGAGGTGACCTATTTCGGAGATAGGCTGTAGTGGTACATGCTTCGGCCCAGAATCTTTTGTCCATATTAAGCAACATAGTCCTCATCATGTTTTGTATTGTGCGGTTGAAGCGTTCAGCTCTACCATTAGATTCATGAGAGTAAGGAGGCATTAGTTTATGCACGATACCTTTTGACTTGAAGAACTGTTCGAGATCTTTGTTAATATACTCTCCACCATTGTCAGTGCGGAATCGTTTGACTTGGTAGGACGTCTGTTTTTCCACCAAGGTAATGAAGTCTTGTATGGCTTTAATGGTGTCGGACTTGTTTTTAAGGAAATAAATCTAGCAAGCACCAGAGTAGTCATCAAGGAAAGTGATGAAGTAGTTCACTCCACTAAAAGAAGATGTGGGGAGTTTACCACTAAGATCTGAATGAATAAGTTCGAGAGGTTTGGTAGCGCGAGATGTTGTTGGTTTAGGGACAGAGTGAGTAGATTTGGTGAGCATACATGGCTCGCAATGATAGTTATCAGGGGGTATTGGCAGTAAATCACCGTCAGAGTAGAGTTCTTTATTTTTGAGTAAGGAGATGGCTTGATGACCGAATGATTGATGCCAGTGATCGATCGTTTTTTGTGAGGAGGAAACCAATGCCTTTTCATTTGACTCAATAATAAATGGGAGACTACCAACAAATTCCACCATTAATAATACAGAATCATCGCCTTTTTTTATAACATAAAACCCAGAATTCGTAGAGAAAGTAGAAAGACGAGAACAAACGGCGTTCCAAGAAAACAGTGAATGACCAAGAGAAGGAACATATCGGACATTTACAAGATGAACAACAAAAGTAGTACCAGAAGGGAGTAGATAGTTGAGAAGTACTGTCCCTTGACCTTTGGTTTCAAGGAGAATTCCACCAGCTCCTTCTACAGTTCCATTATCCTCTCGAAAGTTTTCGAAGTGTCCTATATCATTGGTCATATGAGCACTGCATCCTGTGTCGAATTTCCAGATTGCTTTTCGGGATGGGTTACTGACGCTGAGAGCCTCGTTCTTAGAGCTGCCAGAGCTACTAACGATGAGTGCCTGTTCCTTCTTTTCTTCCTTCTTCTTGTTCTTCTTCTTGTCCTCGTTTGTCTTCTTCAACTTTTGGCATTTCTGCTATGTGTGACCGGTGTACTTGCCGCCGTTTTTCTTGCAGTAGGTACACTCCACATCCGATCCGCTCACTTGTTGTTGTGACTGCTGCTGTTGTTGTTGTAGTTTGCCTTTCTTGAAAGAGACGGAGAGAGCAATGTCCTATTTCTGGACTTCAGACCCAATGGAGAGTAAGTAGAGTTTTGCGTCGGCGTAGGTGAGGTCGGATTTAGTTGAGAGGTTGTCCACTATGTTGGAGTGGTGAGTAACAAGAAAAGAGAGAAGAATGTCCCGTTTGGCTTCATCCTGGTCGAGGAATGAGTAGAGGGATGTGCGATATTTATCGGTAGAGCTAGTGAGAGAGTAGAGACGGGTCCACTCGATCTCATATTGCTCAATGAAATCGGCGAAGGAAGTAGAGGGAGTGTAGGTAGAGGCTAAATCGAAAAGAGTGCGCAGTTGATGTACGAATGAAAACGGAGTGTCATGGTAATATTGTGCCTTGAGGTGTTTCCATATGGCATGTGGTGAATCAAGCTTGCTGACGACCTTTAGTATCGGTTTGCTAATGACCTGAATTAGCATAAGGATAGCTTGATTTTCCATCGCTTTGAAGAGTTCTATCTCTTCTTGTGTCGCATCGTCCGCTGGTTCAAGTCCGTCAATAACTAGTTCTTTGCAGCCTATACCTCTCATGATCATCTTGATTGTGTCAGCCCAGTCCTTATAGTTGTCCTTGCCTGTGAGCGACTCGATGTTGTCGAGTTTAACTGGTATTGGCTTGAAATCCTTGGGAGCCCTAAAGATGGATGGCTTGGTTTTGCCTTTGGTGGAGGAGCCGGAGGTACCGGAGGAGCCGGAGGCACCGGAGGAACCACTGGTGGTTGGTGTGGAAGCCATTGTATGAGATAGATTAGATGGGATGTATTGATACTGTTGTTGATTTTAGTTGTGCTTGTCCGGGCTCATAACCTATTGAAAGGTTACTATGAGCGGAGGTATCGCGGTAGTAAAAACGGAGGTTGCAGCGGTGGACTGAATAGTGCGATTAAGCAGAGTGAAGTGCGAGCGAGAAGTGCGAGTGAGCGGATGGAGTGACTATGTCAATAGTAGATGGTCGATTGAGTCTAATCAAGAAGTGTGTAGAACTAGATACATGAGTATGAAGCTCGTATATATAAAGGTACGAGTTCAGGGTAAAGTCTAGTAAAGAAAGTTTCAGTATCACCAATATGCTAATAAGAAAGAGGGTGTGGTAGTGAAACAGTAATATGAGTCAACGAATAGTCGATGAGTCATGACAACTGATATATATAAACACTAACCTCAAGTAGTAAGAAATAGCATAATGTAGTGGTAATGGATATGTAAAAGAAATAATACAGAAATCCTTAAACGGGTAGCAAGTATCCATAATAGGTATCAGCATGATTAGGAAATAATCGTAAGGAATAACGATGTAATACATGGACAGAACTTAAACTATATCGTAAGGAAATGATTATTTTCAACACCATCCTTATTGCACTGTAAATGCTTAAAAGAAGTGCCAAAAGCCGATTGGCAAAATGATCCTTGTCTTAGTAAAGCCTTTTTCTTCCACATTATGTAGCGGAGCCAGAAGTTGCAGGCTTGCTGAATTGCTTTCCCCTCATCAAGAAGGCTTCTCCAGATCATCTTTCGTCGTAGTGCATGCTACTCACAGGAGGTATGTGCTCTTTCACCCCCCGAGTTATCCTTACGGGCCCTTTTGGCACTCAAAGTGGGCGTAATGAAAGGATCAGACAAATTGACAAACCCCAAGTCGAGTCTCTCTGATGAGTGTCTGTCTCTATGAAAGACTGTTTGTATTGCTCTCCAAGCTCGCGATCTTTCTTTTCCTTTTTAATTACCACTTGCACAGCAGTAGGTGATGCAGGCAATCCTTCAGGGCCTACAGTTGAGGGTGTCGGTGTACCACCTGTGGAGCTTCTGGTCCCGTATCGGCCATTGGGACGTCGCTCAACTGCTTTTGTTTGCGACGTTGCTTTCTGCTTGCTCCTTCCCATGAAGAGTAGGGATAGATGAGGTGATGACTCAATGGTTGTTTGAAGGCAGGGGCAACTGACGCTTTGCTTGATTTGTTGATGCGTTGAAGAGAGCTGGTCAAGCAATGCGCGTTACAACATTTACTTTGGGTGCAGTACCATTATGCGGGTAGCACCCATAGTAAAAACTGTTATTTCTCCAGACGCTCCTATGGAAGAGGGGCTTCCGGCGTTGCTTGCCTTAAAGCAGGTTGCTGAGGGTACCCTGCGCGGGGTAATAGGCCAGATGCGGAGCTTCGCTAGATGAATGGAGCTCTCGCGGGAGGGTGAGCAGCGGTGTGCGTGGCGGGGCTAGATGCTACGCAGGTGACAGCGTGGTCGGATGGCACACGACAGGAGGGTGTGGCAGCAGCGGCGGTGGTCGGAGCAGAGGCAATTGAAAGATGGGAGAAAGGAGAGTATCTGGGGTCCGTCGCCACGGTAATGGATGCGGAGATGCTGGGGGTTGTGCGAGCGTGGCAGTCAGGGCGAGGGTGGTGGCCCTCGACAGTCAGGGCGTCATCGGTCGGCTGCAGAATTTTTGTTTTGAGCAACCACGTTCGTGGATTGAGGAGGAGGCGGTGATGGAAATGGCGAAAGGGGATAAGACAGTAATGTGTGTGAAGGGGCACAGCGGGGTGGAGGGGAACGAGAGGGCAGACAGGAAGGCTAAGGAAGCGGCTTGGGTGGGCCGGAGGATGCTACGACCTGACGTTATCACACCGGCAGGCATCCGACAGGCTTTCCCCATGGGGCGATCCGCTAGACAGACAAACTGGAGTCGGGAGGCGCTACGGGGACTAACGTATATAGTCACCGACCGCGGACCGCAGCGCTGGTGGCTACGGTGGGAAGGGCGGAAGACCCACTGTGCTGGCTATGTGAGGAGGGGGTAGCGCAGAATGCGGTGCACCTGCTGGGCTGCTCTGGGGTAGCGGATGGGAGGGGACGGAGTTGGGAGCAGGTGTGGGAAGACCCGGAGTGGTGTGAGGTGCTAGCGGGGGCGGTGAGGGGGGGGTGACCTGTGATCGGAGATCTGTGTGCGGGAGGATCTTTGATTGTGTCTAAGGGCGAGGGTATCTCTTTGAGGGGGTATCTGGTCATGTACGTAGTTACGGGGCAGGGAGCAGCCCGGTGGTTGGATAATCCCGTCAGGCTTAACCTGAGGGGATGCGCTGCCTTGCCATAAGCGAGACGCTTCAATGCAAGTACTGATTTACAAAAAAAATGGAAAAACAGAAAGTCTGACTTCACACTGCATTTGCAAAAAGGTTCCTCTGTAAACTTTAAAACAACTCTTTTATACCCGAGTTCAATACCACGCAGGAAGAATCAAAGAGTCACATATCAAAATTACTGTCTATATACAAGAGAGATGACCCTCGAGTAAGAGTGATGATCCCCACATTGACACTCCCACACAGAAAAAAGAAAAAAGAATTGGCTCAGCTGGGACTTGAACCCAGACCACCCGCTCTCTGCACATGTTAGCAGGACGTTACAAAGCAGGAATCATACTATTAGACCACTGTGCCTTTTTGACTACTCTAGTCTACCAACATTACAAGTAGTGAAAACTTCTCGCAAGCAAGGCGTTGTGCCTAAACTTTACTTGCTTTTGGTAAATCAATACTCGTATTGAAGCTCTCTAGCTTATGACCACACAGCACATTCCCAGATCGAGTCCAAAGAACTATCCAGACCCTGGGTCGCTCGCTATTCCCCACTGGAGCTTTCTTCGTAGCATATCCTTGACCAGGGACTCTTCGTATACCCAGAGTGTTCGCCTCCTCACTCCCCTTGGGACTGAAATCATGCGAATAACTACCTAGCGTTTAACAGCATATGCCTAACATGCAATTTGGCCTTGTAGGTCTGCCACTACCGACAGTACGCTGCTGAGCGAAGAGTGGGCCTCATGGATATGATGGCTCGGACCTGAAGTACATTATTACCCCACTCGAGACCCAACCGCCAGTGCCTACCTAGTCTGGCGGGCACTGGCCTCTCGTGAAGGTGCCTCCCATGGCCAACGACAAACCACACCGGCCCCTTCCTCAATTCAGCCTAACTGTATCAACCTCTTAAAATGCCCCTTGACATGTCATCCATGTCAACGTCTCCAACGAATCACAGCCTCGCTCTAATGGAAACCGTCAATTCCTTTTCTCAGGCTACAACGACCCTAACTCTCCTACCCACTCCGGTCGGGGATGGTTACCTTCTCAGCCCGTTGGATCTCCATTCCGGCAATGCAACTGCAGCTCCGCTCACGAGCACAGCCCCTTCGGCTAATATCAATCGATTCCCAAGCATGACTCCCTCTCATACTATGTCGGAGCGGTCTCCGGACTGCTCTAGCTCAGTCTCTAGCCAGCACACCAACGTCCACTCCGCATCAGATACTAGTACTCCAGGGTCTAATGTTCCTTTCCCGACTGCCATTACCTCTGCTGTAGTTCAAACTCGGACGCCGAAAGGACTATTGGTGGCAGCAATCCTCCCGGGTTTTCTAGTCACTATGGGGTTCTTGGTGTGCTTAGCGTTCTACCTAAAGCGGAAACGACGCAAAGCGTTGAAGAGTATGCCGGAGGTCTCGCATTTTGGGCGAAAAAAGCTAACGTAGTGTTTAGGACTGAGGGGCAGACTATCAAACTAGAAGAGTGTTGTGGTGGGGTTAAAGTTGCAGCTTTGTGCGGCTTTCTGGTTGAGATGAGAAGACGAACGAAAGGTCCAGTTACTATCATAGCATCGGCTGCCGTTCCTCTCATCCAACGATTACAACTGTCAGTGGGCTGCCAGTAGCGCCAGCCGGACTTGCTTGGGAAATATAATCTACATTTATTACTATAAGTTGTCTATAAAAGTTGTCTGATTGTAGGTATGAAAATTGAGAGACGAGGTTTAGGGCTTTTTGGAGCAAGGAATAGACTACAGGCAACGGAGTACTTGATCAGAATTCTTCGTAAATAGCAACGCAAGCTGCTCAGCTGTTCCCTCGCCGCCATCTCCAATACAAACAGACGCACTGACCCTTGCTACATCCCACAACATGCACATAGCGCTAGACGGACCAAAGAATGTCGCTTCCTCTAGTCCGACATCAAACCCGCAATATGCGAATCAAACCACGCTGCAATTCCCGACGGCAATTGAGATAGCCATCATGGTCGAGGTTGGCACCAGCACCTATCTCAGCATCACGAGAACTCTATCCGTTCCAACCACAGCTCTTCTCCCGCCGTCCACGACAACATCGACCCCTACGACTGGCACCACTTCCCTGCCTGAGGTAACCTGCCCGAACGCATGGATATACACGCCAACCCTACACCCTAGCGACGTCGGCGGATGCGTGCATGTAGTGTGTGATACGTTTGCTGATCAGCAAACTACACATAGCCCTCCAAATAAGGCAGTCTTAGTTGCAGCGATATTGCCGCCCTTCATTGTAGCAGGGGGGGCGTTGGTACTTTTGGCAGGATATCTGAAGTACCGGAGAATTAAACAACAGCGGGAACAGGTATGTAAAATGAGGATACTCATGGGTAACCCCCCCCTGAGGTACTGGATGAGAGTATATACTTATACAGACACGTAGGTTGCCATACGAGGTTTTGCGCCAAGGCACTGAATCCGGCAACTGAAAGGCTAGGTGCCCCTGGAATGGGATATTTCGGATATTGTTGGATATATGTTCAGATGGTTAAATTTAGTCGGGTGGTAGTTTTCTCAAACGAAGATTCAATACCTATTTCTAGTTCTTTTCCACCAGGTTTCCTATTTGTTACCTTCATATGTATGAAGTTTGTGTGAACGTGTTGATATATCAGTCTGATCATCTGAATGCTATGTAAGCACAGGTTAAATTGACAACACTCTGGCTATTACACCATCGAGTCTCGTGCCGGGAAGAGACCTTGTGCCCAGTTTGGGGCTTTCTGATGGACTTGACCTCGATGTACAATGAGAGGTCTGTTTTCTTTTTTCTTTGTGACGCAGTGACTGCTTTTAAACAAGTATCTAGCCTATGGCGACGCAACGCATTCCCAAGACCCTAGGAGGTGGGATTAGATATGGGTGTGGGAAGCAATAAGCCATGCCGCCCATAGGACTCATTAGCATCAGCCCAAGCACAAAATTGCAGCTTTCATTGGGATATTCCATCGTCAGATTAGTTTAAAAAGAAAGATCCAATGATATTAACTCGTTGGGTGAGAAGAGCCTGACGGAGTGCAAGTCCGAGTCTAAATGCGAGGCGGGGGGGAACTAGTTGCCTAGATGGGATGGGTGGAACTGCCGCGTGCTTGGAAAGCTAGGCTACTGTCGTTTCAGGTGGGTGGTAGGGCCTCGTCTGGGCACTGCTGACTCGTACCATACATCACGGGGAAGCGGGTCACCACCGGGATGTAGGTCAATTTATTCCTAAATACATTTCGACCAGGATCTTGTTGCATGAAAGCGCGGAGTGGATGGAAGAGAAGGAAAATGCATGAAAGACCTCCGAGCCAGCCCTGTGAAAGGTGAAGGGGGGGGTACAGGGGGTCATACCCCTCTGGGGGGTCGAAACAGTGATAACAGACAAGGTAGAAGCAGAAGATGATGATGAACTCGCATCTGTGTCCCATGGCTCCAATTCATCATGAGATGATTCAATCTCAATTGGTGTTTGAATAGTAACATTCTTGGCCTTAGACGAGCAAGCTGGAGTGCGGAGTGCTAGCTTCATTAATACATATCACTTTCGCTTGTTAACCCTGCTTTTCTCAACTTGCTTCAAATCTGCATCTTGCCGCTCTTGATACAACCTAACCAATGTCTTCCTATAAATCACCTCTTCATAACTCTTTCCAATGTGCTTCTTATCTTTAGGAGCCGCTAACTATGCTGTTTTCTACCATTTAGCTATTCAAGTCCTTAGGGATCTATTAATAATTTGAAGTTGATAAAAAGAGTTGGTAGTAACTTGTAATCAAATAGCTTTATCAAAATATTAGAGCTATTTTATTCTTAGTTTATAGTTAATTTATCTTTTAGAACATATTATAAATATATATTAAACTACTTTAGAATTTAAATTCAAATGCTAATACTAATCTATATACTATTTAGCTTTTTTATAAATTACTAGTACCATCTATCTTCGGGATGCAGATCACCACCCGGATGTGGATCACTCGGCTATTTATGCATTTTTGACGATTTCGAGGCCAATACACAACTAAATAGGCCCAAATTATGGGATCGTATTTGAGATATATAGTACTTTGTAAAATAAAATATAGTAGAGCTAAGGTGCACTACAGCTTGAATAATCCTGGGAGAAATACTGGAGATTACTGGGTAGGTTTTAGCTATAAAATATGTAAATAGATGATGGTGGAGAAGGTTTCAATGATCAGAAATTACTATTCCCACTTAGTACTTATAATTTGCACTTACTATACATGCAATTTCATACAATATGCCCATATAGAAAGATCGGTCTAAAAGGGTAGCTTAGCCGGGGATACAAATGAAGGTATTCGTTGTTGTAGCTCAACCAAACCACGCCCAACTCGAGAACTAGATAGCTCAAAAGCAAGCACATAGGTAGGGAAAGACCTCCAGGTAGCTTATGCAGGATATCTGACTAGAACTAGGCAAGGTTATGCCCCCAAAGGAAGACCTAGAGAAGGTACATAGAATATATTCAGTCTAGTAATTCAATTAAACTAAGTCCAAATCAAATACCTAATAGTACAAAAGTATGCCAATAGATAGGCCTGTCAATTAGGTACTCTATATATAATATCTGCTAAAAACTGAGTAAGAACATATCACTAATAAGAGGTTTAGAGAAAGAGTAAATAAAATATATTTTTATTATAACTTAATGAAACTAAGTTTAAATCAAGCAATAAGTGGCTTATATCAATGCTTATAGTAACTAGACACTTGTATATACGCTATACAGTAGCTTGACTAGATTTAAGTGAAGTCATCTTTTAAAGATCCTTCTCAGAAACAGATAAACAGATGGTAGATTTTAGGATACCTCTTTCAAATAAAGACAGGATCAAGCATTTAATATCTTGAAAGGATTGATATATAGAGGGCAATCTTTTGAACCTATTATAGGTATGATTTAGCCTAAATTGTTGTAGCTTAGTATCATAGCCTTATTGGGAAGAAATATAATGTCATGGCATATATCAATTGCTATCTACCTAAAATAAATATGTAGTTGCTGAGACAAGCTCGGCTATTCTACTTACCTATGTAAATTCGTTTGAGCTATAGAGCGCTTGATTTGGGCATGGTTTGGTTGAGCTACAATAAGGAATACCTTTATTTGTATTCCCAGCTAAGCTACTCATTCAGACCGATCTTTCTATATAGGTATATTATATGAAATTGCATGTATAGTAAGTGTAAACCACAAGTACCAAGTGGGAATATGAATTTCTGACCATTGAAACCTTCTCCACCCTCATTTATTTATATATTTTATAGCTAAAACCTACCCGGTAATCCCCGGCATTTCTCCCAGGAT